CATGTTAATGCCAGGTTGTGAGGCACTGTATGTACTTGTCTTGTACACACTGGGGACTTTTGCAAATGTATTCCAATGTGATTTTACTGCAAATGGCTCTTTTCCCCTTCTCTGATAAAGAGAAATAGTCAAGAGCCGAACACGTATTATATGCGTCAATATTATACATGCACGCTTGCAATATTACAACCTGGCATATTGTGACATTTGTGGAGCTTAATGCACCACTGAGGGTACAATGCATCGTTACAATCCCAATGTATAGAAATCACAAAACATACAATATTTTCTTTTCTTTTATTTATTTTTATTTATTCCCTTCAGGAGGACACATAACAACTGTCCAGGGACTACTGATGGAAAATAGCCCTTAGGCTAATTCTGGCATTTTTACATGTATAATGTACTGCAGCCATTCCCAAACTCAGTAACACCGAGGCCCCCTTAAAAATCTGACGGGTCTGCGTGGCCCCCCAAAATAATAACCAAGAAGACAACATGAACACAAATATTTAACATTGGGAGACACTGATGTACTGTATATAATATGCACTGTCCCTTTAATAAATAAATAAATAAAATTAAATTTGGGTTAAGGCCAAAAGAGCCATTACAAAGAGACCACTCTTAGAGTGAAAAACTCTGGAAAGCTACAGTCAGTTACTTTACTAAATATCATACTTCAACTGAAAAGAGTGAGTTATGCTCATAATGTGTACATTCTGAATATAGTAATTGTTGTTTTGAGCAGTTTTAAAGCAGCTCATGACTGATCAGACTGATCCTTGAGCACAGCTGTTGGGTCAAACTGTTTTTTCTCAGAATGTAAAGGGCAAAGGGCAGTTTCATAACCTCACAAATCCAAAAGAGTGACAGCGTAACTACTGTGAGTCTGACAGCGAGCCGATTCACATCATGTATAAAAGTGGTAAACTTTAGGCACTGATTGATATTGATTTTTTAAAAATTGTAAAACAAGACTGGATTGACCGCATTCCAGCTGTTCAGAGCTTAAAATTGAGGTATGACGCCTGAGCGACTTGCTCATCACTATTGTGAACTCAATGGTTGTTTTGTTCCTACTGTGAGTTTAAGAACGGACCATGAAAAGGTGTGTGTGTTGTGGTGTGGGGTCCGTGTGTGTGTGTATGGTGTGCGATGTAGGGTCCATGTGCGTGCATGTGTGTGTGGTGTGTGTACGTGGTGTGTGTACTGATGGGGTTTGCTGATACCGAGCTGATTCCAAAAGATACAGGAGTTATAATTGTTGTCAATGAGCCCAGCACATCAGACTTACACATGTCGCCAGATATACAGATGTATGTAGTACTCACCAAAGTCAATGTCGAGTAGCGCCGCGTTGGCGCCCTCCACCAGGATCTTTTTGGGAGAACCATGAAGAGCCTCATACATGAAGTGGACACCGTCTCTCACCATGGGCTTGATGCGCTCCATGCAGCCCTGAATAAAAGGAATGTTTTATGTTGTCCTTGTTGTCACTGTGCGTTTTATATGGATGTTAAGTATTTGTACTTTTAGTTTAGTCAGCTCTCCCTCAATGTCAATCTCTAGAGTGGGGTACATGCCTTTGTAATGCTTGGCCAATCCTTTATACCTGCAAGAACATCACATGTTGTACTATTGTACTATTCACTTGATAAAGTAATTAATAATGGACCCAGTACAAGTTACCGTTCAGAAAACTGGTCAAAGTCGTACAGAAGATCACAGATTCTCAGGCCACAGCGAGCCGCCTTTGCTGAATATACTGGACCGATGCCCTTCTTTGTTGTCCCGAGGCTGATGAGGTGTAACAGGAAACAAGTACAAATCATTAAGGCATTTCACCTTTTTTTCAACAACAATATTCATTTAAGGCTGCCTCTGTTCGTTTAAGGCTAACGAACAGAGGCAGGCTATTCAGTTGCCATACTGTAAAGTCACGCAATAGTATAGGCCATGGAGATGAGCAAGCTGCATCAAAACATGCAAAGAGCACCAGTTGGAGATACCATTATTCCCAACAGAAGATCGCCTTGATCCCAGACAATCCGTGAGCAACAGTGGATGCCTGGTGACAGTGTTATTCCAGTGAGTTATCAAAGCAGTGTGATGAAAGCTTTTAAAGCCTGGTCAACACATACACATCCTCCCTCTCAATCACAGTAGTTGCAAAACTGAAGGCACTTACAGTATCCACGGGTTTGGATCAACATTCCCCACATAGGTCCACATGCTTCACAGACCATTGACATTAACAATGACAAATATTATGTTTGCAATATTTGGTAATAAGATTAAAATGTTAGTGGAATTGAGTATGAAAGTTTCCAGCCAGTTTGGACAGATGCAATGCTTTGCAGTTTGGACGCATGGCACATTCTGTCCTATTTAAAGCTTTGGTACGAACACGGCATCATTACTGTCAGTGAGAGCAGCTCTTTGCCCGGTAAATATGAAGTTGTCCCCACTCTGGCTTTCACTAAAAACTATTGACTAAACCAATCCAATACCATGGATTAGTTGACTACTGTTACAAATTTGCTCCTTATAAAGCAAAAGTCAGGGGTTTTTACGCTTAATTTTTGTTTCATCATGCTAAAAAGTGGGACATTTTAGGACAGATAGAGATTTTATACTGCTTCTTTTTATGCTAGATTTAGAGATTATATTTTATTTTAGTATAAAGTTATTTTTCATTTATCTTGTGCTGTGTGCTCTCATTCCTACTGTTCTGTAACTTTTAATGCAACACTGACATTTCCCCACTGTGGGACAAATAACTCTCTTAATCTTAATCTCAAACATTGTGAGTGAGCAGAGTTAGCAACACCTTCAGAATATTGTCGCCTTGTAAACTCGTCTGAATGCCAGAAGTTGCAAATCAACACAACAAACCCAACCAGAATCCCACAAGCCTTACCCTTTTGTATCCATTATCGTGTTTGTAAAATTGTATGTTTGGGGGTAGTGTCTTACTTCTTGCCTGCTTGCTCTTGTCGCTGCTGTTCCTGGACGCCATCGACGGCCTGGTGGAAGTCAAACACTGGAGCAGGACAGACGAACACACTTGTAAACCTGCTTGAAATGAAAAGAAAAGAAACTTTTCAGAACATACTTACCTATGTGAGCTCTATCTGAGATGATGAGTCTTTCCTCCCAGCCTTTTAGACCTACACACAATCACTCAGTGTTAGCAGGCGGGAAGTCAGCAGAAAAACAGAAAATCACCTTTTCCTTTGCGCTCATTCTTCTCGGCTTCTTCGAACAAACCAGGAAGATGGATCACAACTCCATTGCCTGATGAGAGAAATTAGATTTTTTAGTCTTTCAAAAAGCTGTGCCAAACAAAACACACTTTTACAAAAGAAAGGTAGACGCTCAATCACTCAGTAGCGACAGTAAATAAATACAGAAATTGCAACATACACGTGAAAGTGCCATTCACTTTTCAGAGAGGAAAGTTTCTATTTCAAATAGTATTTTTTTTACTTTGTCTAGTGATACTAGGGCTTTACAACATTATAGAGACTGAAATACAATGCCTATAAACCTTTCAGTTTTCTTTTGATAAATGTTTAGATAAATGATTAACAAGAGCATAGTTTCCTGTAACCAGTCTTTTTGGGGGCAGCTGTCACCGGCAGCACTGTTTCTGTTTAGTAAGTAAGTGATCTTTGTTGGTGCTAAGAAAACACTTGAAATCTATAATGATGCATACCACTGACACAAAGCTGCAGAGACGATGGAACTGTACTAAGGGTTTAAGTTGAAATGGATAAAAAAACAAAAAAACAGGTTAAAGATGAAACTCCTAGAAAAAGTTGTCTACCTACAGCTTACTAGATTTCTTATAATCAACAACTAATTTGATATATTTCAGTCCGGCTTTAGACCCCACCACAGCACTGAGACTACTCTCGTCAAGGTGACAAACGATATCCGGCTGAACACTGACGCAGGCAAAGTCTCAATATTAATCTTGTTAGATCTGAATGCAGCTTTTGACACTGTCGACCATGAGATCCTCTTACAGAGACTAGAGGACTGGGTTGGTGTCGCTGGCACCGCCCTAAGTTGGTTTAGGTCTTACCTTGAAGACAGGATGTACTTTGTGAAGATTAGAAACTGTGTCTCAGATCATATAAGTAAGTAAGTAAGTAAGTAATCTTTATTTATATACCGCCTTTCACAGACCAGAATCACAAAGCGGTTTACAATTGTTATTTTTGGGCACTTGTCCCCTCACTCCACACAGAGATGGGAGCGGGCCCTGACCTGTGGGGTACCACAGGGGTCAATCCTGGGACCTCTTCTGTTCAATCTCCAATAACTGCCGTTAGGTCAGTTAATACGCAGAAACTAAGTGTCCTATCATAACTATGCAGACGACACTTAGGGTGTATTCAGACATGAAAAGTCCTTTGCTCTGCTTGCTTGATCCGAATCAAAAGCGGACCAAACTTTTTTTCTTTTGCTCCGGTTCGTATTCAGACTGTCCTTTTTGCAAGTGAACTTTTTTATATAAACATATCTACACGTGTGACGATCGGCGCTCCTATTGGACTGCGAGAGCTCACGGAGGATAGCTCTCGCGGAACCGGCAGAAAACATTGAGGGCTCATATGTGCAGCATGTCTGCTCTGCCTATGTTTGCTCTTTTTAGAGCAAGACCACCTTCAACATCAACAGCAGCAGCTCTTACGACACAGGCGAAACACGTTTTAAATATTGGAACAGCGTCGGAGAATGCGTGAGGAGAAAGCCGAAGGAGACTGTCTGTGCGCTCCGTGCCCTGTCCCACACATGGATCTATTATAATAACGGCCCTGTTCAGCATTGTGGATAAACCATGGATCTATAATAACCACGGGACAAACAGACGCTGAGGATCAGGTAGGAACCAAAGAACACAATTCACTACATGATGCGGCATATTGCTCTTTGAGACGTGAGTAGAACAGTGTCAGGCTTTTAATAATCCAAATGGTTTGAAGATGCTGCCATTAACATCAATGTATACATTTATTCATATCGTATTTATTCGTATTCTCATCCATGCATTTGTCTCCAGTAGGTTAGACTACTGCAATGGCCTGCTCACAGGTCTGTCCAAACAGGCTGTAAAACAGCTGCAGTACATTCAAAATGCAGCAGCTCGAGTCCTGACTAGAACCAGGAAGTGCGACCACATTAGTCCAGTCCTCAGGTCTCTGCACTGGCTTCCTGTGGCTCAGAGAATAGACTTTAAAAACAGCTCTGCTTGTGTACAAGTCTCTCCATGGCCTCGAACCAAAATATATTAGTGACATGTTAGTACCATATGAACCAGCCCGGACTCTGAGGAGCACAGGGACTGGACTCCTGTTAGTGCCCAGAGTCAGGACTAAACATGGGGAGGCTGCTTTTCAGATTCATGCTGCTAAAATCTGGAACAATCTTCCTCAAGATGTGAGACAGGCCTCCTCTCTGACTATGTTTAAAACCAGGTTAAAAACAGTTCTGTTTAGCTGTGCATACAACTGAGGGATTTTATATTTTTATCTTTCTTTTTAATGTTCTGTGATTATTTATGATTTTAATGCTTTCTTATTTTGTTCAGCACTTTGAGTTGCCTTGTTTATGAATTGTGCTATAGAAATAAACTTGCCTTGCCTTGCCTTACTTTAAAGGCATCATAAATACATTTATTTTTGTCTTAATATTGTGAACAAATCGAGCCATGAACTTACTGAGAAAAAATATTCTTGTAAAAGTAACAAAGTCAGAAAACACTTGCACTAATCCCAAAATATATTAGCATTGCCTCACTAGACTAACAGAAAATTCTGACAGTATGACAGCATTGATCTGTTCTATTGCAGATGCACTGTTAATGAGCAGCTGTTACCAGTTATTACCAGTTAACCTGCATCTATAGTACAAGTTAGTGATGGTCAGTGTTGGGCACGTTACTTTGAAAAAGTAATTAGTTATAGTTACTAGTTACTTCTCCCAAAAAGTAACTGAGTTACTAACGGAGTTACTCCACTATAAAAGTAACTAGTTACCAGTAAAAGTAACTATTGCGTTACTTTTTCGTTTTGTTCTGGAACATAATGTGCACCCGACGTGCGCATTTTTACCTTTAACAGTGCCAATATTTCCATCTAGAAAAGGCTGTTTTGCTGCTGAAGTCCTGTTCACTCTTCATCTCTCACTGTGCTGTAAGCACTGAACACAAACACCCTCCACTGTAAATGTGGAAACACCGGTGACGAGCGGTGAGGCTGGTGAAGCACTGACTTCAGTCCAATCAGATGAACATATTTATCATATAAATCAAGTGGACAATTTGTTTGTCTACAGCAAAATATGTTTTATGCCCGCATTGTTTGTTCATACAAAACGCAAAACTATGAGTTATGGGTCTTACCTTATAAATGACCTGCACAGTCCACTTCGGTTCAGACCAGTTCCTTGTTTAAATCCAGTTAATGGTTTGAGCGTAGATATGTAATCCTCCATTTGGAAATGAGTCCAATGAGTTTTAAAAAGTAAAACAAAACGCGTGTGTCCTCCATAAACTCCTGTGTTTTGCTAGCGGCAGCCGAGTGCATCCAATTTCTAAAATCAACCGTCTTACACTTCACCTCTCTTTCTTATCATTCCTATAGTAATTGAAAAATTACCCTATGTGCATTTTAGATTATGTAAAAATGTGTTATATGTATGTTAGCCAAACCTGTTGCTGTCTTTAGCAGATAAACCAGGAAGAGCAAGGAGCTTATCGATGGAATTGTATGCAGCCGACTTCTGCGCTCACATGCGCTCCTCTGAGGCTGGCCTCACGGTGATACAAGCTGTGGTTGAGCGCGATTAAGACCCATATTTGTTTCAAAAACACAATTTATGAGCATCCTCTCAACCGTAGACATGTAGATTGTAAAGGAAATATGATTTACATCAGCCAATAATTGCTGAGAGGTTTTCTCATCCTCCCTTCTCTCATGACAACACGTTCATTGTGCGTCTTGAGTAACGCGCAGTAACGGGATGTTGGAAATGATAACGGCGTTATAGTTACTGTCAAAGTAATTAGTTAGATTACTCGTTACTGAAAAAAGTAACGGCGTTAGTAACGCCGTTACTAGTAACGCCGTTATTCCCATCCCATCACTGGTGATGGTTAGCCCTCTGTGCATGCTCCAGAGTCACTGTATTCAGAAAAGAAGTCATGAGGCTAGATAGATGTTATTTTGATAACAAACTTATGCAAGTCATCCACTGTATCACTGTGGTAACATAAAACAAAAACCATGGTCTTGGATTGAATAATACCACTGAGCACACCAGAGTTCAGTGCTGTAAGAACTGGACTGTGGCAAATGAACAATGGGTGGGACACGACAGAAGGTTTAAGGGATCAAGTGGTTACTGTCAAGTCTTTGTAATGGGAAAAAAAGAAAAGAAAAAAGCAATGTGGCTGTTTTATGTTGGACTGATCACAAGTAAATGACCAAAATGTTGGCGGTCAAGCGACACATAATGGCAGCGATATAAGGGATTATTATATCATGATGTATGAGATGGAGCTACAGTGAGAGCCTCCATTAGCTAATGAAGTCACTGCAGAAGTGGCTCTGCTATGGGGATACGCACCGATGAAGGCAGTGGCCTTTTGGTTGATGATGCCGCTGGGAAGGAGGTGGAAGTCGTACTCCACTGAGTCCACCACAACTGTGTGCCCTGCATTGTTTCCACCCTATACGAGGAATAGATCAAAGAAATCAGATTTTAAAAGTCCATAAAATGACCAGGATTATGGCCTGAGGGTGATAAAAGAATGTTAAAGACAAAAATAAGCAAAAACAAATTCAAAACATTCTGTGAATTTGTCTACAAAAATAAGAATGTATGAAACTGTAGCTGTATCAATGAACTTGTTAAGTGATAAGGTATTCACCAGATAAATTCCCTTGGACACCTGCTACGTGTTAGAAATTTGCCTTGAGCGCGACACTCATGTGAACCAGTTCTGGTTGAACATTGGCTACACAAAGGTCATCTTTCTGACTAGTCTAACAGCAGTGTTTTGTTTTATTTTTCCCTGCAGGGTACACGATAGTCGGTGCACCACTCTTAATTCAGCAATAGTAGTTTCAAATGGTTTTATTGTAGGGTTTTTTGCAATCCTTTGCTTATTTTTCTCCACAGCTCATAAACAGTATACTCGTCATTTCAGTAGTTACAAGGATTCTATTGAACACGCACATCAGATGTACATGTATAACTTAACAACCATTCACATGAGAGTACAAACATATTCCCCCAAACACCATTCATCTTTGAGACTACAGACTTGTAAAGGACCTTGGTGTCATCCTTGACTTACGATCACAATAATCATGTAACCAAATTGTGCCAAAATACCCCTTGTAATGCCCTTTAATCCTTGTGTTCTGACAACATAATTCTGACAAACAAGTCATAATTTCCGAGTTCCATCTGTAGTTGTATGAAATGCGCTATACGAATAAATGTCCTGCTAAAGCCCGAAAGGCAGGTAGTACATGGGGGAGGCCGTCATGTGCTTGGACATGTGGGGTTATTCCTGGCTCCCTCAGTCTCTTGAAGGTGCAGCAGAGTCACATGGGGCTTGGACTCTTTCTAGTGGTACAATATCTTCAAGTCATAACTGAGGAGTTGAATGCAGACTTTGTTAGTATATTGTACAAGATATATTATATGGCAAAACTGACTGATCCCTGTGCACTTATGCTAAAACCAGGAAGTATGCTCTACACATTGTACTGGCCATAATCTGCGCACAAGATCTACATGAATGGACATGTTGGAGAGATTGTCTTACTTTGTTAAACATATGCACAATGCCGCTCGACCGTCTCTGCGGAAACGGAATGCGATACACAGACAACGTGCCAACAGTGAGGCCGAGTTACAGCTTCACTCCTCCACAGAGTAAACACACGTGATGAGATTGGTGCTTTTATCAGGGAACACTTCATAAATTACAAGGACATCAAAAAGTTATACCAATATTGAGTACCTGTAAACCGGTTTCTAAGTTGCACCAGTCCAGCAGCCACAATTTAGATATAAAGATTTACTTTTAAAAGCAACTTGTCTTAATCAAAGCTGCTAACCCTAAAATTTAGGGATAGACCTCTACATATTTGGAGATGCAAGAGTTCTTTGGATTAGTGTTTTCTCTCAAATGTCAGTACTCTAAGATGAGTTCTTAAATTTAGACTAGGGACGCACTGATATGAGATTGGTATCGGCACAGAAAGCAGATATTGGGGTTCAGGTTCGATAAAAACAGCTAAGACAATATCCTTGTCACATTGATTTTGAAAGGTTGCCGAAAAACGAGTGTGCGGCTCTCATGCACATGCACAGAGGGTAGAGCTAAGTTTGAGCTGGAAATAATCGAGCAGAATTTGTTGCATTAAAGAGTAGATTTTAAGAAAACCGATGGATTAAACAAGACAAAAGGTTCAGGATGACAACGGACACTAAAATCCCCACAAAATAAGACCGTCTGCAGTACCCCGGGCGCACCCTGTGCCCATTGGTGGGACAGCTATAAGCTAGTAATACCCTATCCAGATTTTGATATAGATCCATGGTTTCGCCAGACATTTTAAGGGGATGCATCTGAATGCATGTCTGACAAGAAACACCTGATATAATATAACGGGAGATTTTGTGAATAGATTTGACATATTTTCACATTAGTCTCATATTCAAAAAGCTTCAAATACATTTAAAAACTTATTGTAGCACATTTTGCTGGATTGAGAATCCAAAATATCCATATATTAGTATCTGTGGCAGCCTGGCTGAGTGGGTAGCACTCATGCTTCACTGCAAGAATGTCGTGGGTTCAAATCTGTGTCGATTCTGGCCTTTGTGTCTGTTCATCCCTGTGTCTAAGTGAGTTTCCTCCGGGCGCTTTGGTTCCCCCAACACCCAACAACAGGCACCATAGGTAAAATACTGCAGCTCCAGTAATTCCTTGTAGCATTGCAGGATGTGCCAACAGGGAACAATAACTCGTAACCTTAAATTTAAGAAATTCATCAAATCAAGTGTACAGCATTTTGGCATTTCAAAGTAGTAAAGGGGCATCATAAATAAACTTTACGTTGATATAAGCATCCCATACTGGGTTGGTGAAAATTTGACATTTATTGGGCATTAAAATCACTGTTTAAGTTTATTAAGGAAAGTCCCTTAAGATGAATCATATCATTTTCGAGGGGGGTCCTAAACATAATACAAACATACACACATACATACATACAAAACAATTTAAAAATAAAAATATATATTTTTTTAAAAACAACTTAAAATACTTATAATAATAATAATAAGCATATGCTCCTTCGCATCCCACTCCTCCACTCTGCTAAAATGTTATATTTGGAGAGAGACAAAGTAAAACTACTAACGATAATGACACACACAGAATACAGAACATTAGTGACATAAACATGGAGTTTTAAGGAACCTAAGTAATTCAAACTTAAATAAATCAAAAGACATAACGGATTGTATGGATGTGGGGAGTTTATTCCAGTCTGATGGAACCTTGTATTGAAATGATCTGCGTCCAGCTTCTTTAAAAACTCTTGGAACAGAAAAGATGAGACAATCTGAGCCGTTTCTACTTGGTCTTGGCAATAGATTTTTATTATTAGTCAATATGAAGTTTATAATAAATAAATACATCAATAAATAATCTACCCTTGACTAAAAAGGGGTAACATCATGTTAAGTGTGACAATCCTATCATCTTTGTAAATGGCCACAGACACGGTCCAACACCAGATACCCTGCACTAATGAAGACCGAGGAGCTTCTGGATCTCCTGGGATGGCTCTTGCCCTTTGCTTTTGATTTTTAACCCACAATGACCCAATGAGGATTTCCAGATATGTCCTGTCAAAGTGCTGGCAGTGCAGCTTTATAAAAAGATCTGTACAGTATACGTCACAAAAACTAGAAACAGAATCTCTTATGGTTATGCTGGGGTTAGAAAGTATTCAGGCTTGGAAAGGTGTCAAAAGGATGACCCTGTTATGTCAAACTGTTATCTACAGCTAGTCACCGTCTGACTTTTGACTTCTGCAGTTTACAAGAATACCCCGCACTTTAAATGGTTTCAAAGTTATAAAGAAGGTTTACCATTATCGTTATTGAGGATTTCACACTGGAGTCCTGTTTATTACTGCTTTATTGGACAATCATAAAGTCAATTCTCACGTATCTATTACACTTTTACAGCTAAGGGTGGTTTATATATATATATATATATATATATATATACATAAAAAATATACTTGGATTGGTGCTGCACAAGACATGGTTAGATCATGTCCTAAGCCTGCAAGCGTCTGATTTTTTGATGAATTGAGAGCTGAAATACAAGTCTGGTATTACATGAAACAACACCATGCCTTAAGGCCTGAGAAATAAGTGAAGGTCTGTACATGGAGCTGGCAGGCCGTGCTGACACGCATCCATAACAATACCATGGAGGTAATAGTTTCTCAACAGAGCAATCAAAAGCCAATTTCAATCCGAGCAGGAATGACTGATCAATAGTTCGCTTTTCCAATCACTATCTTGTGAGAAGTTAAAGTTTAAATTTGCTCTATGGTTGTGATCTGAAGTAGTGTGGCACTTAGCACAGTTATCAAAGTTTGTCAGTGTGCCAACAATGTTAAGGATGGGCCCCTGACAAGACCACCAGACGGTTAGATTTACACCTCACTTACAAGAGACAATAATGACAGGGCAGAATAAAGCTCTCTGGCCTGCTAGATAATGACAGAAAATGTATATTGCTGTGATGTATATATTATTTGACCAAAAGTGTAATCTATCAACGACCATTTCACATGATACCAATGACTACAGTAGACTTAACCTTAGCCCTATGTTTAGATCTAATTATGAGTGAGTTTCCATCATAAACAGTCTAAGGTTTCTACTCAGGAGTGTCTGTTGTCAATACAGCTATAACACACTTTGGGCATTGTGATCGTGCTCCTTGTAGCCTTATAGCTGCTGATATTACTGTGCTTGCTGCTCAGAAGTCCATTTGCAGAGATGATCTGTGTCTTCACTTATTGCTACTGTCAAACATGTGCATCCGACAGGGCTGGAGCACTGAGGAGTCTGAGGAGCTACCCAGCTAGCAACGACTCAAGGTGACTTTAGCAAAAGAACAAAACTCGACACGTTGTGGTTTTGTGATAGACATTATAGCACCTTATTATTCCTTTCTTATTTGAATCGCGGACGGGATTTGCCGCCTTGAGTCCTGGTAAAGAGCGGTTTACCCACCTGACATCTGCACACCATGTCCGCGTCCTGAGCCAACAGGTCCACCACTTTGCCCTTCCCTTCGTCGCCCCATTGAGCCCCCAGAACCACAGTCACTCTGTTTCCGACTGTTGGTGTGGGCCCTGACTCAGAGGCACTGTCCGCCTCCTGGATCCCGCTTTCCGACATGTCTCCTGCCTGTGCTCCTGCCTGTCCCCCGGGTCTGAGAACTCTCTACGCCGCTCACCGCGCCACTGCACCAAACACACGAGTCACAGGAACTCACTCTGCGCATGCGCACACGGGACAACTCGCACATTCTCTCTGCATTTTAGCATATTATGCGATTATAGTTTGGTTCAACTTCCAAGTGGCTGCCAGCTATCTTGAATGAAGTATACATTAAGTTAGGTAAAGCGACGACCAATCTATTCCCAAATAAAAAGACACATAGTTTGAAGAAGAGTGGTTCATCTTGCACACATACGATCTCTGCAGACACTCCCACTGTTTTGGAGGTGTGTCAGACAGCACAGACAGCACTGGATGTCAAAGCTCATTTGAGCCAAAACTATCCATGGCCAGAACACAGAAGAAAGTGTTAATATAATATAGATCCATGAGAAAGTGACGAAGCCCCATGAGGCCCACATAATCTGAGGTTGTGCTCTACTAATATTTTAGGCCAACAGTGCACTGTGCATATGGTGGATAGGATGACTTGTGTATATTTATATAAAACTAATTGAGTTCGGTAAAGTTAGCTTGATATTCACAGATTCGGACTTCCGCGGTGAATATCTTACGAAAGCTACGTTGTTAAACGAAAGTAATTGTGCCAAAATGATCACCTCTACATGGGCTAACTACTACAACATCGATTTTTCTAATCCAATGAGCTGTTTTAATGCAGAGAAATCCATTGAATCCAATGCGCCGCAAGTGCCGAGAAAAGCACTTAGGGAGCGTCAACAAATGCCAATACCAGCTGTGTAAACGAACAATAGTTTTTATTTTAAGCCAAGTACACGCACTAAACTCTCAAATACTATAAATAGCTACCATATCTAACTACTACAACCTTTGTTTTCAGCATTTGTTTCTTTTTTGTATTTTTTATGAATAAATAGGATTTAATATTAATATGAATTTTGAATAACTTTTTTTCAAAAAGGGGCGTGGTCACCAAATTCTCAGGTATCATCAATAACTGCCATATCTAACTACTACAACTTTTGTTTTCAGCAGAAATATCTTTTTTATATTTTTTATGATTAAATATGAATATGAATTTTGAATAACTTTTTTTCAAAAAGGGGCGTGGTCATCAAATTCTCAGGTATCATCAATAACTGCCATATCTAACTACTACAACTTTTGTTTTCAGCAGAAATATCTTTTTAATATTTTTTTATGATAAAATATGAATATGAATTTTGAATAACTTTTTTTCAAAAAGGGGCGTGGTCACCAAATTCTCAGGTATCATCAATAACTGCCATATCTAACTACTACAACTTTTGTTTTCTGCAGAAATATCTTTTTTTATATTTTTTATGATAAAATATGAATATGAATTTTGAATAACTTTTTTTCAAAAAGGGGCGTGGTCACCAAATTCTCAGGTATGATCAATAACTGCCATATCTAACTACTACAACTTTTGTTTTCAGCAGAAATATCTTTTTTATATTTTTTATGATTAAATATGAATATGAATTTTGAATAACTTTTTTTCAAAAAGGGGTGTGGTCACCAAATTCTCAGGTATCATCAATAACTGCCATATCTAACTACTACAACCTTTGTTTTCAGCATTTTTGTCTTTTTTATATTTTTTATGATTAAATATGACTAAAAATCTTTATTAGATATGAATATGAATTTTGAATAACTTTTTGAAAAAAAGTTATTCAAAATTCATATTCATATCTAATCATAAAAAATATATAAAAGATATTTCTTCTGAAAACAAAAGTTGTAGTAGTTAGATATGGCAGTTATTGATGATACCTGAGAATTTGGTGACCACGCCCCTTTTTGAAAAAAAGTTATTCAAAATTCATATTCATATTTAATCATAAAAAATATAAAAAAGATATTTCTTCTGAAAACAAAGGTTGTAGTAGTTAGATATGGCAGTTATTGATCATACCTGAGAATTTGGTGACCACGCCCCTTTTTGAAAAAAAGTTATTCGAAATTCATATTCATATTTAATCATAAGAAATATAAAGATATTTCTGCTGAAAACAAAAGTTGTAGTAGTTAGATATGGCAGTTATTGATCATACCTGAGAATTTGGTGACCACGCCCCTCTTTGAAAAAAAGTTATTCAAAATTCATATTCATATTTAATCATAAAAAATATAAAAAAGATATTTCTGCTGAAAACAAAGGTTGTAGTAGTTATATATGGTAGTTATTGATGATACCTGAGAATTTGGTGACCACGCCCCTTTTTGAAAAAAAGTTATTCAAATTTCATATTAATATTAAATCCTATTTATTCATAAAAAATACAAAAAAGAAACAAATGCTGAAAACAAAGGTTGTAGTAGTTAGATATGGTAGCTATTTATAGTATTTGAGAGTTTAGTGCGTGTACTTGGCTTAAAATAAAAACTATTGTTCGTTTACACAGCTGGTATTGGCATTTGTTGACGCTCCCTAAGTGCTTTTCTCGGCACTTGCGGCGCATTGGATTCAATGGATTTCTCTGCATTAAAACAGCGCATTGGATTAGAAAAATCGATGTTGTAGTAGTTAGCCCATGTAGAGGTGATCATTTTGACACAATTACTTTCGTTTAACAACGTAGCTTTCGTAAGATATTCACCGCGGAAGTCCGAATCTGTGAATATCAAGCTAACTTTACCGAACTAAAAAAATGTCCACTCACCTTTGGCCCTCCGCGGGCGGTTATCCCTCTCTAAGCTCGGGTCCTCTACCAGAGGCCTGGGAGCTTGAGGGTTCTGCGCAGTATCTTTGCTGTTCCTAGCACTGCACATTTCTGGACCGAGATGTCCGAGGTTGTTCCAGGGATCCGCTGTAACCACTCCTCTAGCTTCGGGGTTGTGGTGACAGTTTTTGGAGTAATTACATAAAACCAGCCGCAGCTAATACACGGACGTCAAAGGCCTTTTATCAATGCAGAGACGACCTTCTGACGCCATGCTGAGCTTTGTGAGGGCCCCTGCTGTCTGTCACACCCTTGTGTCTTTCGTATCTTGCATCTGTATGTCTGCTTCTATTCATATGTCCCTGCTCCAGGAAGGAGCCGGGTTCCCCCGACACCTACAGACAATGACGCAAATCACTGTATTCTGATAACCGGCAGGAAGGTCCCGCACCGCCAGACAATGACGCAAATCCCCCCCCTCAGCGTCTTGCATCTGTATGCCTTCCGCGTCTTGCATCTGTATGCCTGCACTCCTACCACTGTCTGTCTGTTCGCATCTCCATGCTACTGCCACCACAGGGGATGGCGCCTCTCCCCATGCGCCTCCTGCACCGGTGGCCCCCTCCCCATCTGTTGTGGGCGTGACTGTCTTTCATGTGATGCCTATGTAACCAGGAAGCCTGAGCTCTGCGAGCAGAGCTGGGATATGCTGCCTTTCTTTGTATATGCTGGCTCTCCGCACGTGTGTTATAATAAACTTACGCTCCTGAATTAAGACAAATACCTTTGAGTTTTCTCCTTCATTGGATAGAAACTTCCTTAACAGGGTCACTGCCCCGAGTGCACCGATCACCACGGGCACTACTGTCACCTTTACCCTCCAGGCCCTCTCCAGCTCCTCTCTGAGCCCTTGGTATTTCTCAAGCTTTTCATGTTCCTTTTTCCGGATGTTGCCATTGCTTTGCCACGTCCACCACCACGGCTGTCCTCTGCCCTTTGTCTACCACCACGATGTCAGGTTGGTTCGCCATTACCATTCGGTCGGTCTGTATCTGGAAGTCCCACAGGATCTTTGCACGCTCATTCTCCACCACCTTTGGAGGAGTTTCCCACTTAGACCTTGGGGTTTCCAGCCCATACTCTGCACAGATGTTTCTGTACACTATGCCAGCCACTTGGTTATGGTGTTCCATGTAGGCCTTCCCTGCCAGCATCTTGCACCCTGCAGTTAAGTGTTGGATCGTCTCAGGCGCGTCTTTGCACAACCGACTCCTTGGGTCTTGTCTGGTGTGGTATATCTGGGCCTCTATCGCTCTGGTGCTCAGGGCCTGTTCCTGTGCAGCCATGATGAGTGCCTCTGTGCTGTCCTGTAGGCCAGCCCTTTCTAGCCATTGGTAGGACTTCTTGAGATCAGCCACTTCTGTTATGCTCCGGTGGTACATGCCGTGTAGGGGCTTGTTCTCCTATGCTGGGCTCTCCTCCAGCACCTCCTCCTGTGGAGGTGCTGGAGGAGATATAGGATATGTATACATAGTTCCCACATGACGTCACTACATACGGGGATTTGCCGACCCGGCGCCATTTGTGTTGGCATGCTGTGGGCAAAACAATAGAAAAAGAAGCTGAAACGTGTTAATGTCGTGATAAAGTTGAAAATGGTCATCTCCTGCTGGGTCAATGGATGTTCAAATCGTGCCAGAGGTTCCGTTAAACTTGGATTTTACAGTATACCCATCATTAGACTTCATGAATGTGAGAAGACTAAGCTTTTGTCAGAACAACCACGGAGGTTATGGCTTGCGAAGATAAACAGGCAAGAAACTCCCTCAAAACACGCAAGAATATGCTCGGAGCACTTTGTGTCAGGTGCGTATCGTATCTTATAATGTGTTGACAGACGTAATTTACTCAGTACTAACTTGTGTATGCTGATACCTGGTAACTTGAGAGTTTCATTATTTAGATTACTTTATTATGAGGAGGATCGGTGTCGCGTCCGAGGCTCTCGAGGGCAACGTAAATGTATTAAATAGATAATAATAGTTCTATGGTGGGCTAAAACAATGTTCACAAACAGCATTGCTTCTGTAAAAAGATCTGTGTCATAAAATAAACTGCTCTTTACGCCTGGAAAAATCAGTCGCCCACCATTCACCAAAACATACGGTCAAAAACGCGGAAATAAACAATAACAGCAATCCAGAGTGTCCGTGTGGCATTAGCATTAATTAAATTAATTGTTAATATAATTAAAATAATTAAATGGAGCTCCAACTGGTATTAAAT